GTACTTATTAGATTTGTGTTTCTCTTTTGTTATTCGTTTTTATTTTTCATTTTGCTTTAAACTATGCTACACGCTCGCCTCCGCAAGCATCCCCTCTGCCTAGTGCTTATAATATTTCTGTTCCTCTTTCCTTTTTCGTTCTTATTTTTTCATTTTGCTTTGAACTATGGTAAATTTGGCCGAAGTGTGGTGGGACGAAAAAATTTTTGGTATGGTGGCAGCCGACACCGTCTGTCGACGAGTGGTGCATTTCGTCGACGAGTGGTATATTTGGCCGACCGCACCCCAAAATTTCTGGCAGCAATTAGTTCACACTGAAAATGCGCCTTCTCATTTATAAACGTTCTCTGGTTCTACCTTGCTATGTTTTTATCATGGTTCCAATCACGATTACAATGCAATTTAAAATATAAATGAATTCCCTATATGGTCTAGGGGTCTTGATACAAAGGCAGTCAAAACATAATAAAATTAATGGCTAACAGAGCGCAATTTGCGAAAGAACGTAAACCACTATAAAATTGTTAAAGCTGCCGGCGGTAGTAAAAATGAAGTATAGTTGCAGGCGCTAGTAAGAAATACCGGAAATCAACTTCAACAGTGTTTAAATTGCCAAACTGTTAAGGTTTAAGCACTTCTGTTAAAAATTACATTATTTGGTTTCCTCACACAGGGAGTTATTGCAGGCAAAAAAATTTCAGTTAGTACGATCAGGATTGCCAACTATACTTAGCTATTAAGTGCCATATTGAGGATAAAACAGTGCCAAAATGTGCCGAATAGGAAAATAAAAGTGCCAAATAAGCTGTCATTCTTTATAGTTCTTTTCATTTAGCATTAAAATTACAAACACAGTGTTAAAACGAAAGTGCAAAGTAAGATAAACCAGTTTTATACACTATAGAAATTAAAATATTTTATTTGACAAAAAGAAGTGCACGTAAAGGATTTCACAAAAAGGAATTGAAATATTATAATTTTTCGAAAGTGCCAAATTGAAAAATTAAGTGCCATTTGAAGTAAAATACGGCCAAAAATGGCACGGTTTGAGCCAAGTTGGCAGCCCTGTGTACGATGTGTTTCTCCTGAATACTGTTAAGGCGATGTGGATAATGCTGCATAGTCGCGTGCCATTGGATGGTAAAGGTAAACGGAAAATAATTGTCTATAATTAACATACCGAAGTGGTCAAAAGGCTCAGGCCCAATTTCAGATCGCCTTCTTAAGTAAAGATTGTTGATTAACTTCCACTATTCATTATCAGACCATACATTTAATCTGAACTTAAATCGCCAATATTGGCTATTTGTAAACAAACAAGCAAATGCAACAACAATTTCAAGGAGCAGTGCTGCCAATTGATTGGCATATTTAAATAAAGTTGATCTGAAACCCAACGAAAGCTAATTTAAAAGTGCCGTTTAAATATTCATTTGAAATTGATCTGAATGCTTAAATTAAATAACGCAACGATTTGTTTTTGATTATGCTCCTAATTCGTGGCACATTGCGCGCGTACATATTGTCTAACCGTAGACTGTTTGTCCTAGAAACGCACAGTTGAGTAGTTCCGCTCAGTTCAACAGTTGCCAACTTTCCGCCATTTTTTCCATCGTACAATTTTTTCGCTACCTGAACTCAACGTGTTTTGCTCAGCCTAAACAGATGATCGAAGAGATTTACGCCGCTTATATTAAGTGTACTACGCTCATAAATGGAGAGTCAGCCCTTAATAAAAATATTATGTCCTGGTTATATAAAATAAAACTAAAAAGTTCAAAATAAAATAATGTAAAAAAAAATATTTTTTTAAAACAAGCTTTTATTTAACATGTACAACCAAAGGAATAAAATAAAGTAGTGTAACAAAAGATTTTTTAGGAAGAAAATTTTGTTAAAACTGCACTAAAATGAATTAGATAAAATAAGTTAAGGTCTCGTTAAAGTTACTAAAAGCCATTTAGTGAAAGGAATTACTCAAACTCTAACGAAAATTACTAAGAATTTGCACTAATTTACTTCGTTTTTAAAAGAGCTTTTCGGCTAATTCAGCGTACATGCATAATTGGTTAGGTATGTATACAATGTATGTGTATGTTAACATGGAACACGTTAACATTTGCTGATCGCCACTTTGAGTGA